TTGTTCCTCTTTTTTCTCTCAAGTTTTCCTTGGTTTTGTGGAATCCTCAAGAAAAATCTTTGTCAACTCATCAAAGGACATCTAGTACAGACCATTACCCTCTCCAAACCACTCTGAAGTTGAACTGCACACTAATTTATCGGCAAAGTAAAAATCTTAAATCAAAAATGCAAAATCTCTGACAATAGGAGGGATAAGTGTAACCAGGTAGATTATATCCGACAATCGATTTGGCTTACAATTAGGCCATACGGAGATTCCTTAGCATTTTGCAGTTCCAGTTCTTCCTAAAGGCCAACTCTTTATATCCCTAACTGGGCAATTATAGCGATTAGGGGTTCACCACTCAAATGCGACTGGCAATAAGCAATTCGTTCCAGCTGTATTCATTTCGGACCTGTCATTCTCATTATTCCTACTGATTAGCAAAGAGTTCCATTGACAGTGACATTTAGTAATTCATCCCTTAAATACGATGCCATGCCCTTTAGAGCGTGGTTGCTATGGGTAGTGGCTTAAACATTGAAATGAACCCCTCTTCTTGAATCCAAATCACCTAGCTTTCAGATCAGCAGATCAAGTGGTCCTGTAGCTAGAGGGANTTTCAGGTGAAAAACGTGCGCGAGCAGGAGAAGGCCTACATAAAGAAATGGATACAAAAAGCAAAAATGCGGAAGAACTGAAGGATAATGATCGGGTTTTCCTCCATGGGAGCCACAATAATTTTATGACGTCTAATAAGTGCAATAAAATTAAGTTACTGATGTTGGTATTTTTAAGCATTGAGCACTTTTCAGCACTTTTTTCCATGAGCTTGTAAAAACGATCGGCAATTATGCCAATTTCTGTACTGCACACGTGAGCGGTGCGGCAGCTATTTACTCTGTTACACATGCCTAAAGATGGGGCTAGATCAACGCAGCCCAGCAGCGCTAATGAGGGTCTACCCCTGGCTAGAGGTAGCCCCAGCAGTACTTTTCTCAACGTTATATATCAAAAGGGTGAATAGCGGTGTTCTAGACGGTAATAGCGGTACGTATCCAACATAGACTTCATGGCAAGAAGATGGGGTAATTACTTACACTTCTCCGAAGACTAAGCTCTGCTACCGCTGCAAAAGAGATATCGAAAGCGATGATTCGCAGCTCCTGATATGAGGCAACGTTCATTAGCAAAAATTCGGTGTTTCCTAATTAAAGGTTTATGCCTCACATGCATCTACCAGGTAACTACAAGGGCTATTCCCGCAGCTCAGTTGTGCCGACATAATTGCAAGCGCGGTAACGACAGAAGGCTATTACACACAGATGTTAAGTATTTCATACTGTACATAATATGGGTACCACAGTTCATCTTGGTATAGAATAAGGGCAAGTCTAGTTCCAAGAGAGTTCTGATGATGGAAGCATTCAAAACTGTAGAATGAATATCAGTTTCCATCACGTGAAAATTTCAGAAAAGAATTACCTAGTTGCGTTTCTTCGCCATACAAGCGTATTGATTTCATATAGGAATAGGTTTCAAGATTTATATCAACTAAAATAGATTCGATTGGGTAAGGCATTTTCCAATGATCAACCATTTCATTATACGCCACACGACTTGTGCTATGGACTATAAAGGCGTTCGACACGTTTGTGCGTTAAAAGGGCTGCAAAGCACGCTCAGGAGGGAAAATGATGAGTTCGCAGAATTTCATAGACCCCATACAATTATCCTGCATACAGGTGTTTCCGCTATACACAACATGCAAAAATCCTACATTTTTTTTTTCAAATAAAACTCTATAATACAGCTATGCCTAAGTAAAAGTAATAACAAGATAACAGCAAAAACAAATACTAAATTTAACCATAAAATTCCGTGAGAGTAGTTTTTCGTAAAGAATCTCCTCGCAAAGTCTGTGAAGAGCAGTCATTTATCTGAAACTTCCACGATTTATTTGCAGAGCATTTATGAGAACATAAATGGAAAATTAAGAAACCTTCACGACCACGTAGTCTCCAGGTTCATAGCCCTCGTTGTTCTCGAAGATTACCTTTGCACCACAATCTGCTCGGCCTTGCAATGCTGTTGGAGATCGTTTAGATACCTGAACCAAGGAAATCGATTTGCACACGGAAACCTGAAACCCTTAGAAACAGCTCAAAGTACTATTAGCACTAACTCCTTCGACCAATACCAGTTGTTCAGTTCCCAAAAGAGATTTGTGAAAGGCCAATGATTCCTCACGGAATACAGCAGCTAATTCTTCGTGTCGTCGCCGCTTCACATCCTCTGGCACATCATCAATCAATCGATAATGGGCACGAGTTTTCTGAATGGGAAAAGCACTCAATCCGAAAAAGCCATTTTTCACGAATGCCAGAGACCCTATCTTAGAGCAGCAGCTGTTAAAATTGTTTTATGAACGCCTGGAGGAATGGTGATATTTCTTACCTCTCTCATGCTATACGGAAAGACGTAGCAGAACGAGTATTTAACATCTCGTATCAAATCGAGAGTCCGTTGATGAGCTTCCTCAGTTTCACCACAAAAACCAGCAATGAAGTCACTGGTGAGACTCACATCTGAAAGTAAGCAAGACAGATACTTCGACAGCAAACCAATCAAAAACTGCTTACCTGGAAGCACTCCTCGAATGTCATCTACCAACCGAAGGTAGGCCTCCCTCGTGTATCCGCGTCCCATCCGTTCCAAGGTGCTGTTATCACCACTTTGCGCAGGTAAATGTAACTGGTTGCAAATATTCGGCCGCTCCCTGATCAGTTTGATCACCTGTAAATGATGCAGGGATAGATAAAAATGGGAGGAAAACCCTAACCGCTCTCAATGCTCGCTTCTCGATGTTGTCCATGACGAGAATGTGAAGCATCACACTGAGTATTCGAAGAAATACCCCGCGATAAAACCATGCTTAGCAACTGCCCAAAGTGGCTCTCTATCCCCGAAAAGTCAGTCAAGTAGCCTTTGCGTCCAATAATTCTCACCACCCGTTCAACTCGTGCTTCTGTGATCTTCTCGCTTCCCGCAACTATCGTCCCTTTCTTAGACCTCTTGCACCCTACTCCACTCTACTTCATTTGTAGAGCTTTGAACATCAATAAAACTTTCGGAACATCGCACCCTTCCCATTCCATAGTTTAGCTCGAATTTCTGGAAAAAAATTCACCTCAATAGGGAAATCCTTGGGATGCGGTGAAGTGAAGCGAATACGCATTTCGCGATCCACCTCGGAGATCTTCTCAAGAAGTGTCAGAAACGTCCGACCACCTGTCTTCGGCCTAATCACAGAAATCTATTCGATGAAACGTTTTAGAAAACAATACTTACTTATACACAGTGGAGAATCCCGGAACAGTGCTCGTTGACGCAGTTCCTTCCACAACATAGCTAGATTCAGAGAGATCCCTGTAGCTGTTCACATTCTGACCCAATAAAGTAATTTGTTTCACACCCTGAAATGATGCTGTGCAGGAAGGGAGATTCGTCATTGATTAGGTTGCACCCAAATAAGCTAAGAACGCAGCATGAGCATGATCTCAACCAGTGACGCAATTGCAGTGTTAGTTCAATACATAAAGATTTCCACAACCTACCATACCCAACCAATGTTTCTCTGAATTACTTTTTTATGTTATCTCTTAAAGGAATATGATCAGCTCACAAGTAGTCCCATAGCGAAGGAAACTTCGTCAATTAAATTGTTCCCAGAGGTTCATCACAATAATTTATGGCGGACGACACCGAGAAAGCATTTTTTTTTTCACAGAACCATTAACCGAAATACCTCATCACTGAGACGTCGAACTTCATCGATGATGGAATCGATCGGACGGCTCCTTTCTCGACCTCTCGTCAGAGGTACAACACAATATGTACACATATTGTCGCATCCACGCATTATAGAGCTGATAAACAAAAACCTTTGAACTATTACAAGAGCTATGCAAAGACAAACTCATTGTCAGAGAAACTCACACGAAAGCCGTTTTTGCATTGTTGTCCACTCGAACAGGTTGAACATCTGCATATGTTTCCTCGACAGATAACTGAACGTTAATAGCACTACTACCGGCTCTAGCAACAGCTAATAGACGAGGTAAGTCTCTGTAGGCATCAGGACCTGGATTATGAGAGAATGTTAACTTGACTTCAAGAAGAACAGTATGATTAAGCCGTTACCAGCAACAACGTCGACCAAGCCCTTCTTCGAAAGGAGACCATGTCGCACACGTTCAGCCATGCATCCTGAATACCAAATAATTTTCACAATTTCGAAACAGCTTCAAATCGGGAGATCGCCTGCTGTTGATATTAACTGAAACTCACCAAGAACACCAATTATTTGCTTGTGTCGTTTCCCCACGACACTTCGAATTCGCTTCAGCTCACGCCACACTTTTTCCTCAGCACCTTCACGAATGGAGCAAGTGATTAGCACGACTACATCAGCCTGAGAAAAGAGTTTCATAAAAAGAAGTTTTCTTGAGCGCCAACAGCGGATTCGCCACCGGTCGAAAAATCTCTTTAACCCTTCATTTTAGAAGGTTTAGAAAAATGAAATATGCACCTAAAGCAAAAAAAATTATAGGCGATTGCAAGTACAATCGCACCACCAGAAATCAAGATACACTAGATAGCCGCAACGAAGCTTCACTTACAGTTTTCAGATCTTCCGTCTCAACATAATCATTCTTTTTCAATAGCGCGCGAACAACTTCCATATCGTTTACATTCATTTGGCATCCATATGTGATGTATTTCACTGCAAAACATTTGGATGATACTTCAGGAGCCCATCGTGACCCAAATGATCATTTATACTAAGTACCTTTTCGCCCTTGTCCTGAAATATCTGCTGGATCTAAGTAAGAGCTTGACTCCTCTATCGTTGGAGAGATTTTCGGCAGTCGGGCTCGTTGACTCCGTTGAATAAAATGTTCAAGACCTGGTCCATCTTAAAAATATTCGAATGAGCTGCGAGAATAAGAAGGGGAACAGGTTTTACTTCACATAGTGTTACAAGAAATATTAACGGGCAATAGCCAACTACTTATTAACATGAAATACAACCACGTAGTCTCAGAACTGAATTAAACTCAATCTTTCGAAAAAGTACCTATAGGTGGGAGGCGTCGTTTCCCCTCCCTGACCGTCGCAACTGCTGCTTCAGTTCCGTGGCGACGACAATTCACAATAGCTCCACTTCGCAAAAGCGAAGTGAAATATCGATTCATGGGAAGTTTTTCGCCCAATGGCAAAATTTCTGCAAAAAACACTTTTCCTCATATCGCTGAACCGTTTTCACTAGCGAATCAAAAAGAAACTAGGATGAGTAAGAAAATGAAAAAACTGTCATGCTATACAAATTGAGGAAAGCGAAAACTGCATTCTATTGATCCCAAGTAATTGAGCGATAATGGCATTTCCCTTTTAGGCCACTATTCAAAACCGCGTGAGCATAACAACAACCGTTACTAAAGCTTCAAGAGTGAACTAAATGTGAGTGAAGTTCGAACATGCCATGGGTCCCATGTGTACTGTTACAACTTTCGTAAATGGTAAATTGTGTTAAAGGGGGGGGGGGGGGNNGCATTACTGATCGCTAAACTGGGCACAAATAAGCAATGTAGGAGGCTTTGCGAGCCCTCCAGTGCTTAGAGACTTTAATAGCCGAAAAATTGCCTACGGGGAAGACTGCCTAAGCCTAAGCAGGGAAGGGCCGAGGTGGAGTAGCACCCAAACTGAACATTCAATTCTTACCCCAAATTTTTCACCCGATAAATCCTGAAGTCGAGGAGACCATTCAACAACTTATTCTCCGCTCTTGTTCAACAAACAGGAACAAAGGTACCCTTCGCTTTTACTACTCACCCACATAGTTTCAGTTTGTACATTTACTCCCAGTGATGAGTCACATACACGGAAAAGGAGGTAATACTTTGATTTGATGGCCCAAATGATATCTTGAAATAGTGTTCAAGTTGGCGCCTCCAAATACGCAGGCAGTGTGCAGGTGGAGAGGGGCACGGCGAGGGAGCACACAAATGCAGGAGAATGCAAGAGACCATGGTCAGAGAGGGAGAGGAGGAACGGGCGCGTCGCGCTTCGACCCAGCGTCTTCTCGCTCGGCGTTCGGGCCGCCCAGCCCCACTACGTGCTGTCGTCGTGACCGACATGGTTGTGTCAACTTGCTCCTCGTTTATCTTTTTCCTTTTTTCCTCTCTTACTTCTCGCATTTCCCATTCCCCCGAAGCTATTGTGATAGGGGCGTTTGATTCCGAGACACCTTTACTCTTCATTGGAGATCGGCTACACCACTACCACCTAGTAAAATACGCTGTGGTATTCCCCTTCGGGAAGCTTATGGGTGGGAAGGAGCTTTGCGCTATCCAGTTGTAAAGATCCTCGGTGGTCGAAGGTTATCCTTCACGCAAACTGGTGAATTTTGAGGTTAACTACGTGGGGATATGGGACTAGAACGTCTGAAAGGTAATAGATAGGTTGAGCGGGACTTGGAGGGTCAAACTACAGTCCAGAATAGGGGATGATTTACATCATGATGGATAAAGGTTCAATAGTCGGCATTCCGCACAGGGCTGTGTCGTTATGTGTTGATAGACCCAGATCGTAGTCAGCCAAGATCGTCCTATATTCCTCTGCAAGTGTGGCCTCTTCAAATCTAGTGAAAATCAGAAATTCTCTGAGGAAAAGTATATATCGTCAAGTTAAATTTGATAATAGAGGGTGCTGTTCATCGTAGTCCGCTTCTATGATGCTAAGGGCTAGAGCGCAGGGCTTCAGAGTCAAGAATCGATCGACCGACCCGGGTCGCAACACTGTACACCGATCGATGGTGCTCCTGCTGCCTTTAACCCAATCTGACCTCCGCTGCCAACACGCGGTAGGTCGGTCGATTGAAACAACGTATGCCGTTGAACTCTGAAAACACCCAAGGGTGGGAATGTGGAAGGTGTCAATTGTTGCTGTGCTTGTGGTGCTCAGGAACGATATTAATCTATGATATGTTGTTTTCGCTTAATATAGGAGGAATAAAAGGTGTATGGGGGTAGAACTCGCGCAAAAAGTTAGAATGGTGGGAATCGCTATCAGTGTAACTTCCAGGTGAGAGAGCGGAGATAAAGACAAATATGGGGCTTCTTCAACAGAGTTTTCATTTGTTCATCCGTGCGGTACCTACTTCTTGATAACCTGAACACGGTCATCCTCGTCATAGATTTGCGAAGGGCCTTCAGACCCTCTCATGTGTAAAAAAGAGTAGTGGTATATTTTGTAGGACACAGGTGGAAGCGCTCATCGATAGGTTGCTTTCAGACTTCAACGACGCAACCGACGACCGTCCGCGCGTCCGACTAACGGATCGACCGACGGTGTTGCTGGCTATGTGTTGATAACACTGGACGCCGATGGTTCACGTGCCAGTGTTGGGTCCGACAGGCGCAGGGACGGATGCTCATCGGTTGCATCGTTGAGGCATGAAAGCAGCTTTACATCGTAAGGGGAGGCTGGATTGCAGTGAAGCGGGTTTCCGGCGATTTATCGTCCACGTTGATCTCACCGCTTCAGGAAAATGTCTTAATTATTTCACGTTAGAGACGCTTTGAAGCTTGGCGGATGAGCGGATGTACTTAGCAAGGAGTGTTGATCGTAGCTGCCTCATGGGACTCACATTAGGGTTAAGTGCCTCCAAGACGCTCAAACATCCGGTTCTGGTCATCTACTCAACGGTTCTGCTGAGCAATCAGTGTAAACCTGTATTCATTCGATCTACAACGAATTCTGATGCCTAGCAGATTATCTGAGTGTCTTAAATTCCACCGAGATTCATCGGCTACGACATACCGTCGATGTCGAGCGCTATTCGCCCTGCGTCTGGCCAAAACACATTTTCCAAATTTGTGTTCACCGCCATGGCTCTGGTGTTGGTTGACAGTTGAAGCAATCCATGAAAGGCATTCCATGTAACTTTCAAGATCGGGTGCCCCCGAAGCGCCAAACCGGTTTGACTCGAGTACCTCTTTTGTCATTGGTAAGCGGGCTGAGGTGATGTATTGCTGGAAAGAGCTATCTCAAATAGAATAAACATTTAATGTGATCTTCATTCCTGATCGGTCGGATGGTAGGTGAGATTTGCAGTTTGCGGATATGGTTCCTGATGCATGGTAGAATGCTCCTGCTCTTGTTTGTCTAAGTTCTACGATGTTGGGCTGCTTTTCACAATGGTAGTAACAATAGGAACGAACAAAGCGGGATCCAGGAATATTCATATGACTTGGAATGCCAACAGAGATCAACAGGCAAGGTGGCAAGCTACATACAGGTTGCACATCTCGAAAACTGCGCAAAATCAGCACCCGATTGTACCTTGTCTAGTTATCCGCTTTTTGTATCCTCACTGATAGTATGGGAATCCATAGCAGTCCAAGTCCAAGCCCTGCACTTCTCTGTGCTAGGAATGCTGAGCTACTATCTTTTTTCTACAGTATGTTGGCGTTCTTTGAGCATGTAATGAGATGATGTCAAGTCCTTTCTGATCTCAGTGATATTTTCTTTCTAGAAGTACAATGTCTAAACACAACAGTGATCGCAAATCAGGTGGTGGAGGAAATGGTAATAACGGCGGACAAGAGCGTGAAGAACGTCGCAACGATGACAGGCGTAGGAGTGGACGTGACGGGGACGAAGGGTGCGAAAATATATCATTTTCTTTCAGTTTCTTGTTTGTTTTCTGTGTTGGATTATAGGCTGGCAAGCAATAACCGCTCTGGTTATGGGACTTCAGGCTTTCTTAGTTATTGTTTTGCATTCCTCCATAATTTTAGCAACACTTGCCTTTGAGCAAGTACTCTTCCTTAGCGATAACTCTTGCGTGTTATCAGGCAATACATGAAAATCTGGGAAAGTAGTTAGTTACTACTAATGGTCATAAAGTGAGCTTTATTCTAGAACTGTCACTAAGTCCTCGTACAAATCGGAGTAGTGTTATTCTGGTTTGAAGGGGTTGCATGTTCTGTGTTCTGTCTTGTACAGCTACCGGTTGTGAGGTTGTGGAAATATGGACTTATAGTACTTTCCGTCCAATGATTAGGAAGTGTTTACCGGGCTCCTTACCTGATTTCTCCCGTTTATTAGCGTTTGTTTGCAGTAAATTCAGTCAACGAAATAGCAGCTTCCTCAACAACAACAGTGTTGGATGCAGCACAAACCCTGTCGTGGTTCTCAACAGTGATTTTTCGCACGAAGTCTCATGTCGGATGCAATTCCTACTGCATGTGGAATCATGCCGGATGAGATTCCTACTGCATGCAGCAGCCGTTTAAAAGCCTGGTGTACAACGAAATTTTCATGGTTGAAGGATTTGCTTGCAAGCAGAAAAATTGAATTTCAAAGTTGTGTGTCGAAATAGTGCTGAGCAAGTGAGGGACTGTCTTCAGTGAAAGCCTACAGGTTCTACGACGTGATGTTGATTGCAATGAATCCATGTTTCTTCATTTGAAAGTGAATAAGTTCAGCTCTAAACTTTTAGCTGTTGGGGACAAATTAAATACTACTGAATTGAGTTAGGCATTTTACTTCTATGTAAGATAATCGGGGATAATATTTGGATCAAGCTGCAAGCAAATGCCTTTTATTCTCTTGGGTAGTTGATTTATTTTCAATGAAAGCGATGGTAATGCCAAAAATGTAATTTAATTGTTCTTTAGAGAGCAATATCGTTACGGCAGATTTTTATTTCTGGGAATAACAGATTTGAATTGATCTGTTGCTGATAATTGCACAAACCTAGATTTGCAAGCATTGAAGTTGTCCTCATTTGCTCTCGTGACGCACTAGTGGACACTGACCAGGGAGGGGTAGTCTACTTATCTTGGAACTTTGAATTCAGACCCAGATAAATCGATAGAGTTCTGAATGCTGTCTACGAAAATGGAAATGAAAACTGCAAAATGGTTCTCCTTAAAAAGTTATGGGGGCCCGAATTTTGCTCGACAGTAGTATCAATTGGAAATGCGAACTCGTCGCTTCCATATTCAACGCCCACGTGACCTAGTGGTAGTGGTCTCGCTTTGTGGGCGTAAAATGAGGGGTCCCTCCCCGCCATTGTCTGCACTTTTGCAACGTGTTT